GGGCTTCCTTGAACATTTCCTCGTTTCTCTTTTCCTCATAGAATGTCGACCTGTGAGAGTTCAGGCCGACTTCGATGGGCAAGAGTGCATCTATTCCGTAAACCATGTGAAATGGAGACTGGCCCGTTGAGCTTCTTGGAGTCGTCCTATAAGCCCATAGGACTGTTGTCAACTCGTCGACCCAGGCTCCCGATGCTTTCTCCAACCTTTTCTTCAGCCCCTGGAGGATGGTTCTGTTTGTTACTTCGACCTGGCCGTTTGCCTGAAGATGTGCGACTGAGGCAAATTGTTGCTTGATCTCCATGTCGAGGCACCAAGTTTGTATCAGTTTCCCTTGGAATTGTGTTCCATTATCTGAAATCAACACCTTCGAAACTCCAAATCGACAGCATATGTTGAACAGGAATTGAATCATTTTTTCCTCGGTGATTTTTGCCAAGGGTTCTGCTTCGACCCATTTGCTAAAGTAGTCGACAGCGACCACCAACAACTTCCTTTGTCCCGTTCCCATTGGCAACGGGCCTACCAAGTCGATTCCCCATTGGGCAAAGGGGATTGGAGTGTTGATTGTCGTCATATATTCAGCTGGGATATGAGTGATTTGTCCATGGCGTTATTTCTGGACCAACTGTTCTGCCGCTGTTCGAATTTTAGGCCAATAGTAACCTGCTTGCAAGGCTTTTCCAGCTAGAGCTGGGACCCTATGTATGCTCCGTAACACCCTTCATGGATTTCTTTCAAGATTTGAATTCCTTCTTCGTCGGAAACGCACCGCAGATGGGGCCCGACCAGCGACTTTTTATACAAAATCCCCTCGACTTCAAAGTATCTGCTGAGGTATCGAGCAACTTTTTCCGCCTCCTTCTTGTCTCTTGCAGGCACTCTGTTGGGATCTATGAGGATCTCGTTATGCACAAATCACGAATTCAATAGCAAAATGTAAACCTATGCACAGCGGATCTAAAGGTTTGCGTAGAGAACTTACGGCTTAAAATTTATGGCGATCTGAATGATCTTCTAAATGCCCCTACACAACACACCAATGAAAAGTAGACTGCAAATCGCGTCCTAGGGTTGCACGAACAAGATCGGATCGAAAACCTGATCAAATGGGTGCAAAAACGAAATATGATAAGTTGTAGCCTTGGGAGCTTGCGGCAGCGCATGAGGGCGCGTGCGGTGTCAGACGATGGCGATCTCTGCAGCGTTGGAAAGCTCTCATCGAGACGGTCGTCTGGGTATACTGCACGTCTTGATCGAACCTCCAGTTAGTTCTGTACGATAAAATATATTTCGTCTCAGTTTACCTACAGATCTTCTACTGTATGTCTCAAACACCTCTTAATCTTGTACTGGTGGAACAACAAAAAGAAGATAAAGCTCGAATGAGAACTGAGAGAGAGAGAGATATGGGGCGGCGTGAATTACGATGTAATTGTGATTCATGTGTTCTCTTCCCATGAGCTTAATGATGTATATATAGAGCTACAGTAGGGACCCTTAGGAGATTAGGAGAAGAGTTCCTTAATTAATTAAAATACTTGTGGACCAAGCCACTTATTTTAATTAATTAAAGAGGAATTTACACTCTCCACTTAAACAACTTGAAAATATTACATAATTACATCCCTAATATAATTATTTATAAATTAGCTAATTTTGTTAAATTTATTTGTATATATGCCTAAAAAGCTGATTTCCTGTTTACATGGTAACTTTCCAACAATTGATTTTCTATTTACA